AATGAAGATGCCAACAAAAATATCTAATTGGAGAGACGAGATTCAGGAACTTCTTTTGTTATGTCAGACAAGGCAAGAAAGAGACGACCTGTCAAACCTGTCTACTCTCATTGCTCTTCTAGAGAAGGACGGCAGCTACTTGGTCAAGGTGTGCCCACATGTGTGGGTGTGTGTATGAACACTGAATCAAAGGGGCTTTTATGTGACCCATGATATGCATGTGCTTTTGCACTAGGGGTGAGAACATGTACAAATTTTCATAAATGAGTTCTTGCAGATTTCTGACAGAGTGTGCACATTTTTCCATATGGTAGTTTACTACCCAGTCTGATCTCAACTGATGGTGAAAAAAAAGAGTCATTTACAATGAAGATGCCAACAAAAATATCTAATTGGAGAGACGAGATTCAGGAACTTCTTTTGTTATGTCAGACAAGGCAAGAAACTCTGTCTTTTATCACCATATTACAGACTGCCTATGTGACCATGTGAGTAAGTCTGGATCTGATTCCCTGGACATAGTCTGTAGTTCATGTATGAAAACAGCTTCTGTCTCTGCTGTTTGTCATCCCACAGGCTGGTTTCCTGAAGAGCCACCACTGTTATGAGATTGTCTTCACTGTCCCAGATGTCCCCACACTGGGCAAAGAGCTCTCCTGTCTTCCTTCCTCCTCTCCGACTCGGAGGTCCCCCAGCCTCAGGGTCCGTCATATTAACTCCACACTGGAGGGTAAGTCGACATGTCAGTGCATGAGAACAGTTTCCCTCCTTACTAATGGTCACTTTGGACCAAAAGTAAAGTCTACCTTTCATAGTAATAACATTCCATCAGCCTCAGCTTTACTTTGTGCTTACGGCTAATTAGAAAATGTTAGAATGCTAACATGCTAAAATAAGGTGATGAAGATGGTAAACATTTACATGCTTAGCATCAGCATGTTAGCATTGTCACTGTAAGCCTGTCAGCAAGCTAACATTAGCTTGTAATTTAGCTCAATACACTGCTGTATTGACACACAATCTCACAAGTCACTCATGTGACTGTAGACTCTTAGTCTTACTTGTCTAATTTCACACAATTTACAGTATATGTGTACATTTCACCGATCCACCTGGGTGTGTTGATTTTTAGGACAGTGTCAAGTACAGTATGTCCTTTGCTCTCAAGCGAGGAGCTATGGAGAGCTGAAACCAGCCATCCCTCCTAACTGGTGACGGCTTCACTAGCAACTGTATCTCTGTAGGAGTTTCCATAGAGGGTTTCTTCCATCACTACTGTATCTACAACAACATATTCCCCTGGCACGCTGTTAACACATCAAGGCAGTAGTTGTTGAGTATCTGTTGAATGGTTGTGTTGCTGCTTTTTCTGTCTAGTGCAGTAGATGTTATCCATTGCAGCTTTTGAGGAACATGAAAGGAGTTTTCCTTAGAGAACCCAGTGAGTTACCGAAGCTAGTGGAACACCAGCTTATGCAGAGGTGAAGTGGGACTTCAGTGCTCTCTCAGCTGCCCCAGTCAGTGTTAAAGCCTGTGCGGCAAATTTGTGCCATGCAGCTCAGGAGACTCATACTGTTTTGATGCAGAGCTGAAAGATGTGCAATATCCTGTCACTTAATAACACTGTTCTCATAAAACTGAATTAAACAGGTGGCACAGAACAGTGTAAATAGATGTACAGTATAGAAATTGATGAACTCTCTCTCTCTTTAGGAGGAGTAAAGGTAACGTGTGAGTACAGGACGTACCAGGAGGGGGTGCTGCAGGAGGAGCTCACTCTGGTAACCAGAGGGAGAAAAGACAGCAGTCTGAAGGTCAGACTCCAGGCCAAGGTCATTGGTAGGTGCTAGCAGAGACAAACACCTGCTAAAACCGTTTCTAGATGTATGACTTCTTGTAAACACTGTCCACCATGCAAAGTTTTTTTATTAAATCTGTGTTAACAGGTGAAGTGAGCGTTCCTACACTGTCAGAGAATCTGATTTATGGGTTGGACGCAGAAAGATATTTAAAGAAAATCTCACAACATAACATGCAGAGTGCACAGGGCAGGTCCACACTTATGTGCATTAGTGTGTCCCCTACACACTGCACAACGGGAACATTAGAATGATCCTGCCAGTCTAACTTTAAAAGCACACAGCACAACTACCTAGTAACCCATTATCTATACTGCTTATTCTGTGGAGGGCTGTAGAGGGCTGGAGCCAATCCCAGCTGACACTGGACAAGAGGTAGGGTACACCCTGAGCAGGTCACCAGTCAGTTCATTTTATTTATGGCACTACAGTCACTGTCACAACCTGTAACACAGCCACCTATGTATGATAATGTATTCTTTCTGACCCCAGCCCTGCAAGTCTAGCCTCGAAAATAGCAAAAGTGGCATAGTTTGACCAACAGTACCTGTTGCCTAGCACATATGGAGGAGGTTGGGCTGTCATGCTACCATTGGGCCATTGGTAATGGTAATAGTAACACCTATGCTCAGTCAAAATATTTGTTTTAGAAAAAGATCTGTAGACTAACATGCTATACAACTGAATCTAATTGTACTTTGCTAGTCCGATAGTGAAATGTAATTACATGCTGTGGCTAAAAGCAGACTGCACAAGAAATTGTGTGTGTGTGTAGGGTTGTCCAAACAGCATCCCTAGTTTTCTGCTCTTTGTATTGCATTATTTTGCCATGCAGGTGTAGGAACAAAAATGTCAATAATCAATATTTTACTGAATGAAAGGACAACTACACTACCTCTTTCAATTTGTACATCAGTGTTCAGTCAAATTATGCTCATTTTGTTCCTCATAGAAATGAATGGGATACAAAATCTAATGTGCCACTCCCTGAGTCAGTGATTGAAGGATGAAATAAACTATGTTCCATTTCATGTGAACATTTTCAGCCTTGGGTAGCTACATGTCCTATAGGCTCTGCACTGTGGTACAGTAGTGTACAACAGCATACTAAACAGTCAGCATGTGTTAGTCTGCATTCTGACTTTACTAGGTTTTCATTAATTCATCACTTGTTCAGTGTGAACACACTACAGGCTCAAACCTGATTAAAATTTCTGTGCAGGATAAAAATGGCACACAGCTGCTCCCATGATGCAATGCTCATAGCACAGCTCCTCCCAGCTGCAGACAGTAGTGAAACAGTTCCAAGAAGATTTCTTCATAAAATATATAGTCTTTGGAAAAATGTTTAGTTTTGTCTTTGTAAAATGTAATAGACCGTGGCAAGGCCACAGTCTTATTGACATCTCTGTGGGAACAACTTGGATTCATTCTGGTTTGCACACACTCTGCTACACTAATGCAGTGTTTCCTACATAATTAGATTCTTTACATGCCGGCTGTTTATTTCTTTTGCTAAGTGGCCATGGTAAAAGCACCATAATGCACTCAATAGTGGCTTGAACTCGGCTCTGACTGTGCCTGACACCTGAGGGTTGTACCAGGAGGGAAGAGCAAACTGACTAACACATGTTTTTCTCTGTCCCCTTTGCCTTCATCTCTTTGTCTTCCTCTGTCCAGACCCACATCACGGGACTCCCATGCTGCTGGAAGGGGTGAGGTGTCTGGGTGCTCAGAAAGACGCCCACACAAAGCACAGCAGTGATCAAAAGAGGATATGATGAAAAGATACACACACTCAGTATATATGTACATTATTCAGTGACTGGGTCAGGGCTCAGCATGGTTGTATAGAAACATGAAAATGTGTTCTCCATTTCAGAAACAGCTTAATTTGACTGGGAAATCATGTTTCAATGATGCTGTGTTTTGCTATGGTGATGGCATGGCAAAATGTTTGTTAGAAAATAACTGGTCAAACAAATAACTGTAAGTACAATGGATACATTTTGACAACAAACAAACATGCTGAGCTGTATAACACATTATTTAGACAAAAACACACCATGCGTCAGCTCTGGATGGACATTTGACAACTGTTATTCAGTTTACATAGCCATGAAGCTTGAGTTGTTGGAGAGGCACAATAAACCAGCAATGAATGCTAGCCAGCTGACATACATGTACAGCCACACACAACCATTAAAGTAACAGCAAATAAATATGTCATCATTTTACAGTAGCTCAGCCTAAAAGGGCTCTGATTTTGATTCATATTGTTCCCTGTACTTTAACCATGTCCCTATGTTTCCTGTTTCTTAACCACCATAAAGATCATTCATCAAGCTGCCTAATGTTAATTGTGCATTAATTAATGTTATTCAATCTTAGCACAAAATGCGGTGGTTTCATGAGTGTTGCTGATCAAAGTCAGTCACTCCTCTGTTCATTTCAGTGGCATCGAGAACAGAGCCAGCTTTATAATGTCTTCTCTTAAGTTGACTACTGCAGACAGTAAGCATGGAATTTTACCAAAAGTCAAATCCCAGTATAGAGTTAGCTGAAATCTGTGAGTTGTAGTTAGCAGCCTTTGTGCAGGACAACGTCTTTACCACTGTTGTTGAACGCTCTCATGGCTGCCACCAAATGTTTTACTGATTGCACCTGTACAGTTCTCCTTGGACTACTGACATGTCACGTGAAGACAACTGATTCAACTTTAACTGACAGCAGTTTTGTTGGGCCCACTGGCTCCAGCAGTGCAGAAATGGCACAGTTTACAATAAGAGTCCGTTAATGACTGCAGCAATTCATCTGTCTGCCATCAGACTTTACTGTCAGATGACAAAAGGAGGGTATTTTAGTTCTGTATTTTCCATATAATCACGATTTCTATATGTATTTTTTAAAACTCTTGCTGGAAATCAACATTGGATAATGTGGAAGGTTGCATTAAGCAGCATGATATTATTAAAAATATACAATTAAAGCATGCCATTTTGTTTTAGAAAAAAAGAAACAATCTACCCTAAGCATGTTCTGTGTCTGTCAGCATAGCTTTCTTCGTGTCTGTTATGACAGCTTGCATCATCAAATGACACAACAATCTGTCAAGTAGGAGTTGTTTTAGATATACTGCTAATGCTGTAACAGAGAGTAGAGCATCCCCCCACATGAATTATATATTGTAACCAAATAATGACAACAGGTTAGATGAATGATAGGGCTGAGTGGGAACAGGAATATGTTTTTTTAATATATTGCATTTATTACTTTAACTTCAGATGCTGCAGCCAAAAGTATTACAGTATTACAAGACATTTTTGGTGTGCTGTCTGATTTAAACAAGTTTTGAATTAAACAAAGATAATCTCAGTTATTCACACTTACTCCCTTCTTGGTAGATCATCAGCTCCATGCTAACTCTTCAGAAGATAGTAAATAGTTTGCTCATGAATTGTTTTTAAATCTCAATGATATCTTATAAGAGTGCATTTTTTAAATTACTGTAGTTGTGATTTTAATTAGGCTATAATGAATAGCCTAATAAAAATCCAACCTACTAATTACAAACCCCATTTCCAGAAGAGTGGGGACATTTTCCAAAATGCAGTCCAAACTAAAATCTGATATTTGTTAATTTGCTCAAACCTTTATTTAACTGGCAAAAGTACAAAGAAAGGGTTTGTTTTTTGAAAATCTAAACAAATTTAGAATTTGATGCTTGCAACACACTCAGACAAAGTTGGGACAGAGGCCTGTTTACCACTGTGCTACATCACCCTTTCGTCGAATTACACTTTTTAATCATTTGGGAACTGAGGATACTAGTTGTTGCAGGTTTGCAAGTGGGACATTGACCCATTCTTTCTGGATACAAGACTTTAGCTGCTCACCAGTCCATGGTCACTGTGGTGTGATTCTCTTAATGGTGTGCCATACATTTCTGCAGGCAGGCCAGTCAAGAACATGCACTCTTTGTTGATGAAACCACACTGTTGTAGCATGTGTAAGATGAGGTCTGGCAGTGTCTTGCTGTAATATCCAAAGACTTCCTGTGAAAAGACACTGCCTTGACAGTACCTTTACACATGTCACCCATGCCCTGGGCCATCACAAATGATGGCTTTTGCACCTTTCCACTGTTCTCCTGTGTAGCTGTGTGTTACATAAAAAAACAGTCCCACAGTGCTTAGCTAAAGGTGGGGACACACATTATGACTGTGTCCCCCAAGCTGAAGTGCATCTTTGTCCATATTGGATGGCATGATAAACAGACTAGACCATGGGAGATTCCTAAGACTGACAACAAAAAAACCTAAGGAGAAAAAGAAACAGGCCTGGAACAACACTTGCCCTTCACTAGTGAAGTACAATGCTTTAAACCACAGCTCTTCCTCTCTGGCTCTGTTCCTTGTTGACACACCCACATACACAAACCTGGAACAAAAATCTGGAGTGACCAGGTGTAGTCGTCAGAGTAGATGTGAAAGATAATCATCTAAACTGATCAACTAAAACTGCTGAATTCACAAGTCTGTACCGGTAATTTTTTTAAAGACTGCAAGAGGGTTTATCACATAATCTGGGAAGTACACAAATTAGCACAATGGGACACGTTGAGGTAAGAAACCCAGAGCAATCCACAGCTTGTTTTTATTGGATCATCTGACATGTTAGTCATCCGGTTTTTGACTGTGTTTACACTGTTGTAAAATGTGTACATTTATTGATTTACTGTGTCTGTGTAGGTAAATGCAACCCTGTTCTGCTTTGCTTCTGTATAAACAATGTGGCTGAGGTACACTGAGGCTCATGTATTTCTATGCATATCAGTGTAAGAAAGTAAATTGCAGGCTACTAGCTAACCATCAAGAGCACCTTCATTGCTGTAGTGTTCAAAATAATAATGTGTGAATATAAACTTAGGTAAAGTGTTAAAGTGTGTGAAAAATATTTGGATACATCATTTCAGTTTCAAGAGATACCAAAGTACAGTACAATTACAATTTTATTTACATGGTTCTGCAACAAGGAGTTTGATTTTAAAACTCAGTGAATAATACTCTTCTGAAAGACATATTACAAGATCACTCTGCTTTTATCTCTGTAAAACAAATATACCTAGCTACAAGGAAACATTAGCCTGCATGGAGACGTGTCCTCTAAGTTTTTTAATTGTGCACTCTGGAATGCTGATAGACTGGTTAAGGTGTGCCCTTAGGTAGAGACAAGTGGAAACCTGTGAGGCTGAGAAATGAAGCCAATGCCAAAACCTGTAGTTCCTCGAATGGCTACTTGAGGGCTACTTGAGACTGTCTCCAAAAGGGAGTCAGTCCCCATAGACTCCAATATTAAAATGCTCAAATTTATAGCTATAGATATAAAAATATTTATAGCCTGTTCTAAAAAATGGTTTTGGTCTCTATAGTTAATTCCCCCTTCCATGGCAACTGGGGATGATTTTTTTTATAACTCACCCATTTAAATTATATTGAGACTAAAATGTATGCATAATTATGTCCATGTCTTCTTTGAGTGATAGGCAGGAGTGTCCTGCCACTGGTGGCCATCTTCATTCTGCCTATTTAGTCCACCTCAGCAATTCGCTTCTTTGTCTGTTTTTGGAAACGACGTAGCAGGCGGAGTGAAGCACCGTCAACGAAACAATAGCCAGAATTGAGCTTCACTCTTCAGAAAACCAGTGGGTTACATCATGATGGGTTTGTCCAGCTTTTATATGACTCATCATGGATGAGACTGATGACTGTTGTGTCATCTGTGAACTTCAGGGGTTAACAGAGGGGTCTTCTGAGGTCCAGTCATTTGTATAGAGAGAGAAGAGCAGCAGGGAGAACATACATGGATGTGGCTTTCCCCAGCCTCACCTGCTGCTTCCTGTCTGTCAGAAAGCTAGTACTGTAATCCACTAACAGATGGGGGCAGGCACAGTGAGCTGGGTCAGTTTGGAGTGCTGGTTTTTCAGCTTTTCAGAGTAGCTCCTCTTTGCTACTCTGATCTCCCTTGTCAGTGTGTTCCTGGCCTGGCTGTACAGAATCCTGTCCCCACTTCTGTAGAACTCCTATTTGACACGACAAAGCTACTTGAGTTTTACTGTGAAACAGGGCTTACTATTGTTGTTTGTGCAGAAGGTCTTGGTTGGTACACACATCCTCACAAGAACTGATGTAAGATGTCACAGTGTCGGTGAGTTCATCCAGGTCTGTAGACACAGCGTGAAATACACTCCAATAGGTGTTTTTTATTACAGTGTAGCAGCGGTCCAATCTGTTTTTGTCCCTGTACTTGGTCTGTACTTGTGCACTTTGTGGGTGAGGTTTGTTCTTTTAAAATCCCCTAGAACGGTATAGTGGGGATTCGGGATGTTTCAGTTCCACTCCAGGTATCTGGTTGGCCAGATGCTGTAGCACGTTGGTAGTGCAGGTAGAATACACATGCCAACCAGTACTCTTTACACTCTGTACACACATCGATGCAAGACTAAAGCACGGACCATCTTCAGTGATCCACATCATCCTGGAAACTCTCTCTTCAGATGGAGGACGTCAGTCTACACCCTGAGATGCCTCAGACTAGAGAGCATCATCACAAACACCACTGTGCCATGGGTCTGGACTCTGACTTCCACCTTTGTTCCTTCTCTACAACAACCTGCATACATCACACACACATCCTTGTGGTTATCACTTACAAGGTCCACACATAGAATGGAATTCATTTACAGAAGACTTACCCTAACCTTAACCTGAAGAGAGAACCATGCAGAAAATCTTCTGCACCTGTACATCTCAACCTGTGCAGATGACAAAGAACTTGACTTGACATGTATGCAGACAACATTTAGGCAAAGGTGGTTCATTTGGTACATTGGCTGTCCGAGACTAATAAACATACAAAAGCATATCAGTGGTCAAATTTGCACAAGACAAGTGATTATGTATTTCATCATGGCATTTAATTGTGGCCACAGTCACTGCCCTGGATGTATCTGACTTCCAAGGTTAAGCAGGGCTTGGCCTGGACAATACTTGGATAGATGACCACCTGAGTACAGCAGGTCCTGTGGCTTGGACGTCGGGCTAGCAACTTGTCCCCCATAGAAAACCCCACTGCTGCCCAAACAACAACGGAGCGGAGACCTTGTTGCCCAATGTGCCAAACAGCATGGGAGGAACTCAGACTTGGGATTTAATTTTCATTTTACAATAAAATGTTTATAAAAATATTCAAACCAGTTGTTCAACAAATATTCAACAGTGTCTGTTATTTATCTTGTAGTCCTTTGGACCACAGTACAACATCATAAAAACCCACTGAATAATTTGGTATAGATGTTTAATTAAAATGCCAGAAGTCCTGATATTTTAAATACTGTATTTTTATGGTACTATACTTCACTTCTCTATATTTTACTGTAAAATGTCATAATTGAATAATACTTAATTTATGCAAATGTGACATTAAAAGGTTTATTTACAGTTCAGCAGACGTCTTTACTGCTCCTCTTGTCTGTTCTACGATTTTTTACATCTTCTACATTTTCAAGTCTTTGAACAAATTCTACAACTATTAAAATGCCTCAAAGAGGGAAAAGAGCTAATAAATCAGAAGCGAATGAGGATATGGAGGCAGAAGAAGTGTATCACAGAGC